AGATAAGTGATGGCACGTATTAATATTAGTTTGGATAGATTCAAATTAGTTTTAAGTGACTTTATAGGTAATTGACATCTAACACTCTATTAATATGCTTTTGGGTCCATTTTGAATCCATTAAGTAGGGTTGTGACAACTTTATTATATTAAAGACTCAAGTATGTAGCAAATGGTAAACTAGTTACTTGTTATTATTGAGTAAGCTTTGTCTATGGCAAATAATATATCAATACCTTATATAGAAGTAGAAAGAAGTTATGATAGGGATTTACATGCCCATGAGATAATATAGGCTGAATTGGTACCTAAGAATACGAGTGTTGAGAAAGCATGAGGTGTCTAAGGCTATAAAAATAATAGCCAAATACATGATAAGGTATGAGTTCTCCTTACATCATGATTTGAATAACAGAGTGCTAGAAAGGGTGAATGACATGAAATTGGGAAAAAATAACCAATAATTTCGGATAAGGTTCAAGCCTAGTAGGAAAGACTACTTGAGGATGATAGAACAAAAAAAAAAAAAAATAGATTGGTTAGAATTGAGGAGCGGGAAGCTGAATGATGAAAAGATTCTTATTCTCCACATTCATACAAACTTTCCTTACCCAACCTATGTGATCAATTAAGATGGAAAAGAGGTAAACTTGAGGGCAAATATGGCTAGTTTATTTATCAACCATCTAGAAGTTGAGGAGAAATAGGTGAATGATGAAGCAATTTATCTTAAGTCGGTGATTGCCGGCCCTCGGAGTGTGATCTTACCTCGATTAACTATCAACACTCTTGAAAAGATGATAAAAATTTATCAAACTATCAAAAAATATATCTAGATGAGCAACTCAATAACTAAAATGAGGAAGAGATCCAGCTAATCTATAAACATCTATAATAAATTATTTTGCTATCTTAACTTTTCGGTAATCTCGACTTAAAGATATTAAAAAGGACTTATTTTGAGTATATTTATGTTTAATATTAATATAAATCATGAATTTTCTTTAAATTCTATATCTATTTTCCTTTTTTCTTTCACTCTTTTTATTTTTATGTTTTTTCTTTCAAGAAGATAGAAAATAAATACCTCCTAAATTTCTAAAATAATTACATCGAATATTTTTTTGCCTAAATTTGATGAAACAACGATTATAATAGATGAAGAAGAATGGGAAGACGAAAAGGTAGGAAATCTTGCCAAGCTATAAGAACTATTTGAATTGACCATAAAGCCCCCAAAAAGAATTAGAGAATATAAATATAGGAGCAGAAGAAAACAAAAAAATGCTACAAATCGAAACCTTAATGTTAGAAGAGGAAAAAGTTGGATTGGTTATTTTGTCTGCAAGAGTATGCCAACATTTTTGCTTGATCTTACAAAGATAAGTCGGGGTTGGATATTGATATTTTTTTGCATAGGCTTATGTTATTGCACTGGTCATAAGTACGTAGAGCAAAAATCGAGGAGGATGGGGCTAGATGTTTTGATTAAGGTAAAAAAGAAGTCATCAAGTAATTTGAGGCGGGATTTTTGAAAATGATGAAATGCTGAACATAGGTATCCAACATTGTGGTAGTAGAGAGAAAAAGGAGAAAGATCAATATGTCCATTGATTTTCAAAATCTAAACAAAGTCATCTTGGAGGACTACTTTTCGTGCCTCGCATTAACATACTTGGTTGATAATGCGATAAAGAGCTATATTTATTCCTTCATGGATGAATTTTTTAGGTATAATCAGATCAAAATGGTTGAAGAGGATATAAAAAAATCACTTTCATCACACCGTGAAGGACTTATTGTTACAAAGTTATGCCATTTGGACTAAGTAATACGGGAGCAATTTATCAATGAGTCATAGTTACTTTATTCCACAACATGAATCATAAAGAAATAGAGGTGTATATGGATGATATGATCACTAAATCCAAACCCAAAGAAAATCATGTCCAAACCTTAAAAAAGTTATTTGAGAAGCCGAGGAAGTATTAGTTGAAGGTGAACCAAGAAAAATGCACATTCGAGTCGAGTCAAAAAAATTATTGGAGCTTGTTATAAGTGGCAAAGGTACATAAGTGGATCACGACAAGATCAAAACCATTTAGACGATGTCATCACTTAATAGTGAAAAAGAAGATCATAGGCTTTTTAGGATGCTGGAATTAATCCGGTTCTTTTCATAACTTATAGTTAATTATGAACTTATTTTTTTATCACTATAAAAATACCCAAGAACTTAGGACGAAGAGCTGCTAAAAAGCCTTTGATAAAATCAAATAGTATCTACAAACCCACTTTTTATAAGTCCACTTTAGTGTTAGGTTGACCTCTAATTTTATATCTTATAGTTACCGAAGTAGCCATGAGATGTGTACGAGGTCAACATGATGATGTTGAAAGAACGAACATGTATCTACTATCCAGAGTAAGAAATTCACACACTTTGAGTCCCATTATAGTATACTTGGAGAAATTATATTGTAGTCTAGTGTGGGGTACCGGACAATTCGGATAATACATGTTATACTATACTACTTGGTTAATCTAAAAAACTAATCCTCTTAAGTACATTTTGAAAAAACCATATTTGTTAAGTCAAATTGCAAGATGACGGATGCTTCTACTGGAGTATAAAGTTGTTTATATGACAAGAAAATCGATGAAAAGAATTGTTATTACTAACCACCCGATAGATAATGCTATTGATGATTATAAATCTTTGAATTTTGATTTTCACTGATAAAGACATCATGAAGTTTGAAATAGATACGATTGATTTGATAATGATAAATGGTGGACCGATTATTTTGATGGAGCTATGAATGTCTCAAGTAATGGCGTGTTGATAGTTATAATTTCTCCAAATGGCAAACAACATCCTATAGCCATCGAGGCTTCAATGTGAATGTGCCAATAATATGGTTGAATATGAAGTTCGTATTCATGGTTTAAAAGTTGCTTGAGAAAGATGAATAAAAAGTCTGAAAGTATATGAAGATTCAATGTTGATAATCCGCCTAGTAAAAAGTGAGTGATAAACCAAGGATAAAAAAGCCTTATCAAACACACTGACTAAGTTTGGTCGAAGAGTTTGATGAAATTGAAGTCACTCGCTTAGAAAAGATAAGAATCGGTTTGTCGATGCTCTAGTAACATTAGCTTCAATGACTTAGCTCCACTTATGGAGTAAGAATACAACCTATTTGCATTAAAATTAGAAACTCCCGAACCTATTACTGCATAATAGAAGAGGAGGTGGATAAAAAACCACTAGCATTACAATATTAAGATATTCAACAAGAATCATGAGTATCCTTCGAAGTGCTTTGAGGTGGACCATAAAACCTTAAGAAGGATGACTATAGATTTCTACCTAGATGAAAAAGTGTTATACAAGAGAAGTTCGATAATATACTAATCAAATATCTAAATGAGGTAGACGCTTAAAAACCAATTGAGGAAGTTCATGAAGAAATCTACTCCACACATGCTAAGGGACACATAATGACCAAGTAGATACAACGAGTAGGTACTTACGGATGACTATATAAAAGACTATAAAAAGTATGTTCGTAGATGTCACAAATGTCAAATTTATAGAGAGAATATCAATGTTCCTTTTGTATCTCTACACAATATGTATCCCCTTGGCTATTCGCTACGTGAAGCTTGGATGTTATTAAGCCTATCAATTTGAAGGCAAGTAACGAGACATCAATTTATTCTAGTTATAATTTAATAATTTATCAAATGGGTGAAACACACTTTTTATACTCATGTCGCTCGATAAATGGTCCGACAATTTATACAAAAGAATTTGATATGTCAATACGGTTTGTCAAAAACCATGATCACCGATAATGCTCATAATTTTAATAGAAAAATGATGACGGAGTTACGCAAACAATGAAAGATCAAGCATTTGAACTCATCATCATACAAGTTTAAGATAAGTGGTGCATGTTCCCACGTCAAAATACCTTAAAACACTATTTGAGCTTTAAGTATCATTTTTTTCATGAGAACCATGCCACAACCTACATTATGTGCTTGTAAAAGGCTTTTCTAACCAAAAGATAAACTACCGGATTGATAAGCTTGCTTGTAAAACTCATCACCATACATGTTTGGCTTGACTTTCATCTTTTATTTCATGCGGAAGAAGATAACATATTTCAAGCATAGTATTTCTTCACTAAATTAGAGTTTATAGGGTTAGTTATACTATCTCCATCCATATTTGCCAAAATGAATGCTTCTCATGAGAATATTTTCTTAACCACATAAAGACCATCATAATTTGGCAATCATTTGCTTTTGTCCTCTCTTGGTGTCGGTAGAATCTTTCTAAGTACCAAATCTCTTTTTTGAAATTTTATGGGTTGCGGCTTTTTATCATATGCCTTAGCCATTCTCATTCGATAAATTTGTGCATGATATATTACAGCTAATCTCTTCTCATTAATCATAGTCAACTACTCGTATTCGATTTTAACCCATTCGGCCTCCTTTAGCTGGGTCTTTGTAAGCACTCTTAGAGAAGATATTAACTTCTAAAAACATCACCATTTCGATCACATAAATTAGCTGGATTCCATGTATACACGCTTAGCAAGAAAACTAAACATATGGATATAATATACAGTCAAAATTAGGTAAAAAAAGATTTCAAATCCATTAATTTTAAAATTTTATATAAATAAAAAATACAATTTGAATAATCAAATAACTTTTGTTTTTACTATTATCAAATCTAGCAAAAAAAAAAAAAAAAAGAAATTTTCATATAATCTTTAGAATTACCTATTTTTTGAAATTTTTTTGGATTAATTAGCCTAATTGATGAATAATTGGGGTAAATCGGGTTTTTCGAGTAATGCTCACCTCCAACACTTTTTTCTGCCACGGCTGTCTTTCAGGCCGAGCACTTCAAACTCGAACTCCATTAATTCTCAGCGCAGGAGAGGACATTTCTTTCCTCTTTTTTTTTTTTCAAAAAAATGCTCTCTTTCCCTTCTCTACACCGTCCACCTCCCAAACCCTCTCTTTTCTCTCTCTCCCCTCTCCGTTTACCACCTTCAAAAACTCTCCTTTTCACTCCCAAACTCAAACCCACGACCACCACAACTCTCTCTCTCCGCTTCCAATCTTCCTCCTCCACCACCAACACCACCAAAGCTAACCCACAAAACGAAACCCGAATGCCTTCTTCATACCATTTGAAAATAGCTATAATTGGCTTTGGCAACTATGGGCAATTCCTTGCCAAGACCCTCATTTCTCAAGGTCACACTGTCCTTGCTCACTCTAGATCAGACCATTCACTTGCGGCCAAATCTCTTGGTGTCTCCTTCTTTTTGGACCCTCATGACCTGTGTGAGCAACATCCAGATGTCATTTTACTTTGCACTTCAATAATTTCAACCGAAAAGGTGCTAAAGTCTTTACCTTTACCAAGACTAAAGAGAAACACATTGTTTGTTGATGTGTTATCTGTGAAAGAATTTGCTAAGAATGTATTGCTTGATGTATTGCCTTATGATTTTGATATCATCTGCAGTCACCCCATGTTTGGTCCTCAGAGTGCAAAACATGGGTGGGGTGGTCTTTATTTTGTTTATGAAAATGTTAGGATTGGCAATGAGGAAAAAAGAGTTAGTAGGTGTAAAAAGTTTTTGGAAATTTTTGAAAGAGAAGGTTGTAAAATGGTGGAAATGAGTTGTCAAGAACATGATAAGTATGCTGCCGAATCACAGTTTTTAACGCATACTGTGGGCAGAGTATTGGAGATGTTGAAATTGGAGTCTACGCCGATTAATACAAAAGGGTACGAGAGTTTGTTGGATTTGGTGGAGAATACCTCAGGGGATAGTTTTGATTTGTATTATGGGTTGTTTATGTACAATAAGAATGTGCTCGAGATGTTCGAGAGGTTAGACTTGGCCTTCGAGGATTTGAGGAAGCAGCTTTTTGGAAGGTTACATGAAGTTGTGAGGAAGCAGCTGTTTGGGAATGCGGAGAGTGATAAAGTTTTGCAAGGGAATAACGGCAATAGGCACCTGAGTGGTGCTGCTGCATCGGCATCTGGTTCAAAATCTGCGAGGTAAGTGTTTAAGCAAATTTTGGGGTTTTTAGTTTTAATAAGTGATGCGGGTGGTATTTGTGCATTTCCCATTTTGTTGTTTTATCATGGCATTGTTATTTTTTCTCAACATTCGAGTTTCTATCTCAAGATTGAAAAGAAAAAGGGAGGTGCTTGTAATTAGGCTTAGAATCTCCCATAGTTTTGTGCCCGTCATAGATACTAGCTATTAGCATTAGAGGTGATATGTGCTATACTTGTTTATGATATGAATTATGTTTTTAATGTTTGACCATTGCGAAGATCACCTGTATAGCGTGGAGTGAAGACATCCTACACAATGTTCAACACATTATGAGAAAGTTGAGGAACAATTTTATGCCACAATAACAAAAGATTAATGGTATTAGGCCATATTCTAATAGAGAAAAAGCATGTGTCACTTGCTTGTATGGAAAAGCTGCGTCCTTTTGGTGCACACATGCCAAATGATAGGGTAGTTTTCTCTCCTTACCAGAAAAAAAAAAAAAAAAAGGAGAAAGAAGTCCTCAGTTGGTGGTTGGTATTAGGGTAGGGATGGGGAATTGGACTCTCTGGGATAATTTCTACTGCAGAAACCAAATGAATGACCATTTTATTGGGACCTTTCAGATTTCAGGTCTCTGCGCAGACATATGAGTACAAGGCAGAGGACGCAAGCTGCTCTGGTGATAGGGCCAAGCTCAAGATTGCCATTGTTGGATTTGGCAATTTCGGTCAGTTCCTTGCAAAAACCTTTGTTCAACAGGGTCACTCAGTTTTAGCCTATTCTCGAGCAGACCACTCTGATGTGGCTCAAAAGATGGGGGTTTCTTACTTCACTAATGCAGATGACCTCTGTGAAGAGCATCCAGAAGTGATTGTTCTTTGCAGTTCAATTCTCTCGACGGAAAAAGTTATCAAGTCATTGCCAGTTCAGAGATTAAAGAGAAGTACTCTTTTTGTTGATGTACTTTCAGTGAAAGAGTTTCCAAGGAATCTGTTTCTTCAAAATTTACCATCACACTTCGATATTCTTTGTACCCATCCTATGTTTGGGCCCGAAAGTGGTAAAAATGGGTGGAACCAGCTGGCGTTTGTTTTTGATAAGGTCAGGATTGGAAGTGATGGTTCAAGAGTATCACGATGCAATAGGTTTCTTGATATTTTTGCTCAAGAAGGATGCAGAATGGTGGAGATGTCCTGTGCAGAACATGATTGGCATGCTGCGGGATCGCAGTTCATTACACACACCATGGGACGGGTTTTGGAAAAGTTGGGATTGGAGTCAACTCCAGTTAACACAAAAGGCTATGAAACTTTGTTGAATTTGGTGGAAAATACGGCTGGGGATAGCTTTGATCTATACTATGGTTTGTTCATGTACAATGTAAATGCAATGGAGCAGCTAGAGAGGTTGGATTTGGCTTTTGAATCATTGAAGGATCAACTTTTTGGACGGTTGCATGGTGTTCTCCGGAAGCAATTGTTTGAGAGTTCAGACAACTCTCAAGACTTGAGTGAGGAACCTCCAGCTGCAAAATTCTCTCAAAATAGTGCTGAGGTGTCTTCTTCTTTGGCGACTCTTAATGTTGAAAATAATTAGCATCTGTGCCCTTTTGCATTATTGGTAAGTGGCTGAGGCATTTCATTGCTTGTCATTTCCAACCTTTAATTCCTCTCTTGCACAATCTATAACTGATTCTGCTTCTATTTTATGGGCCACAAAAAATATCAAAGTTGAAATCTTAGAATTAGAGCTATTAATCATATGCCAGCAGAAGAGGTATTCTGTTCAAAGGGAAAACGTCCTTCGTAGCCATTCTAGTTTTTTATATGTCTAAAACCTTAAACATCAATATTGTTTTTTATTAATTTTTTTTCTATAACAGATGTTTCTTATGATGTCAGGTCTTTGTCGCAGACTTTATCGATGTTATGTTGTGCTATAATTTCTGAATAAATTTGTCAATCATTGTACTGGGAAATGATGTTACCACTCCCCCAGTTTATAATTCTACTCCCCCAAAACTGCAAGTATAAGCTTTGTGGAGTGATGAAGTATACTGTTGGGAGAGTGGCGTTATGAGCACCCTGTTGTACAATGTATCATTGAGTACTTTCTATTCTCAACCATTGCCTCTCACTTTCTCTTGTGAAAGTTGGTTATAACATAGGGTTGATTAATAGAATATAGGTCTTACTGCAGTGGCTCGCTCTTGTTATTGAGTGTCATGTTGACTCATTTGCAAAGGCAACTCGAAAATGTATAACAGTCACACTGTCAGATCTTAGTGCAATTATATGGTTCGTTTTCTCTTTGTGTTTGTCCTCTAGAAGTTAGATGTTTGCAAGCATAATTTTTAATAATGTGACATTTTTCAGGCTTGACAATCATCATGAAGGATAGACATTGGAGTTTTGTGCTGCTGGGTAACTTGGTAATTTCAGCTAAACAGAATCTGAAGTAGAGAAAGACATCACTCGTGGAGTTCGAAACATTGTATTTAAGCCAATGTAGCTGAATTTTTTTTGCAACTTGTTGGAGGCAATTATTGATGATGAGATGATACATGTCTCTGAAGATGGTTCCATGATGTGTAATGTAGATGAGGAACAAGAGTGATCCGATGTGATGATATTTTAAGGACTAGCAGAAGTTCAAGTGTGTGGGTCGAGCAAAGAGGATTTTGTACTAGCCACTGCCTAGAATGAAGCTTGTTAAGTTCATTCTCCTGCAATTTTTCGGTTATTTCTCTTTTTGTGGTTTCACAGCCTGTTATTTGTTGCATCATTTTCCTTTCTTAGGTAGGTGGGTTTGTTGTATCATTAGTTAGAGTAGATGTTATGGAGCTCCATTTTTGTTCATCAGAGGAGCTCCTTTGTCAGATTTTGTTCCATCTCCTTTTGATGTCAACATGAATAAAAAGAACCAAATAGATTCTGGGGCTAATTTTTTTTTTTTTCCATCTTTTGTGGCAAGTAAACTGGTAGACTTCACTTTACCAGTTCTGTTTTCCTCTTTTTAACAATTCTCAAGCAATTACTAATCTTGAGTTTGTATGGTGATGCGAGTTAAACTTTCCAGCAAGAAGAATCAAGATGAAATCAATAGCTTTATTGAATGAAATGCAAAGAGTTTGAATACAAACAAGTGAATAAAAGAATTATTTGACAGAGAAGAGAGATTAGAAAGAAACAGAGAAGAAAGATTTTTAATCAACTGATCCAAGATAACTCTTTCCTCATTTCATTTTCTATTTATAATCTAACTACTAGTAATTAATTCCTAACAACTAACTAATTCAGTTAAGCTAGTTATAAGAGTCATGCTTCATTGCTACAGCAGCTTCAGCTTCTCTGCTGCACCTGCAGTTAATTGCATAGTTAACTTCTTCTTCTCCACATCAGCCTTGTTAGTTACCTGATATTGCTAACCATTCTCCATATTACATTTCCATATTTATTCTTGCCACATCATGCACCAAGTCCTCATTTGATCTACAGTCTGCCATGCACCGTGAGAGATGTGTCCACTGGTATATCAGGAGCTGAGGCCTGCATAGGCTTGAGCAATCCAGCAGGCCAGCCCTTGCCTCAGGTTGGCACCGTCTTTATTTAATGTATGATTCTATGCCTCGGTGGAATTATTAGTATGATTTTCTTGTTTGACTTGTATTTATTTACGTTTTTTTGGCTGGCCATAGTCCAGGCAACATATTTTCTGCTTGCAGCTGGATTCCCTGCACATGGTGTCATTTTGTTTGAAGAAAAGGCCCCGTCAAGTAAATTGCTAGGTTTTTAAATTCAGACAATCTTGATTTTATTACCTTTTAATGGATTGGAATATTAGTGCTACTGCTACAACCCACATGTGCAGACCAGTTTTAATGTGGTATGAGTGGTCAACTTTCTCCAAGCATCTCTCTGAGAATCGAGATCATTTATTTTGACATCCTTTACCCTTTCAATATTTTACTGTTTTCTTTTCTTTTTCGATAAATGGGGATCATCATTCATCAAATAAAACTCAGTAGGAGCTCACCTTACAAAGCAAAAACAAGAACCTGAAATTTCAACAGGAACAAACGAAATCCCAGTTTTTGCAGGCACCAGAATCCTGGGATTGTTTATAGCCTTTTGCAAAATATTGGACTTATGCTGTCTACATATATTCTCTTTTTTATTCACCACATGAAAAATCTTATTATAATCGGTTTGAAGCCTCACCAATCCTGGGAGTTTTTAGGGTTCGGGCTCCCATGGTTGAAAGATAGGAGAACAAAGAAAATACAGGCACATCTCTGAACTCCCTCAAAGGCCCTTTTATGGTCGTAGGTCCTAGGTTTAGAACTTCTGCATGCATTTCCTAGCTAAAACATAGGCGTAAATTAAATTTTTACTGCTTCTAGTGGTCTCTTCCCTTTCTGATAGTACTGAAAGTATATGCCTTCATAATCTTGCACCTTCTTGTATAATCTCGGTCTCGTCTCACTGACCAGCCTATCCACTGGTTCAATGTCGTTGTCTGGGTCTGGAAGACAGAACACAGCCACAGAAGTCCTCTCCCTTTCTGAGTTTGTCACCACTCTGTGAACTGGGCTCTTGAACAATCCATTGCTCATTATCTGTGTATGTCATACATAAACAGTTATAGTTAATACTGAACTCCCATGAATTAAATTCCTATTTCAGGTTTAAGGAACGAATTTACTTGTAGCAGATGGTCTATAGTCTAAACTGTTTTGTAAGGTTAGAATTTATTATTCATCTTTTTTTCCTTAAGAAATGTAAGGCTGATGATGAGACAAAATCATCACTAATATACCTCTGTTTGATCACCAACATTAATAAGAAGAGCATGGGGAAGAATAGGAACTCTAAACCATTGATCATCTTTAAGGAATTGAAGACCTTCTACTTCTTTATCTTGCAGGACAATGGTGATTGCTGATCCATCTGCATGTGGTTTCAGGCCAAGAGTTCGGTCAGGCCTTGGACAGGGTGGAAAGAAGTTGAATCTTGCAAGCATTATTGCCCGTTCTCCATACTTGTCCAGAAAGCAGTTATCTTCCAATTTTAATGACCTTGCCATGGCTTTGAGAACAACTTCAACTATCAGCTTTAACTTGGTGGTATATTCTTGCAAAATTTCCCTGCAAGCTCGAGATTTATCTCATATAGATATTATTTTATTGCCAATATTTATTATGTCAATGAATCATAGGAAGTGATTTCCTTTCGATGTTGTCTTATCTAAGATAATGGTCAAGTATAGCCATATTTGATAATCTTCAGGCACAGAAAATCCAGAGAACAAATAGGAATATTCCTAGATATTGTAAGCTCCTAAGTCCTAACCTTTTTAAGAACTGTACATGAGGCAACTTTAGTACATGGTCAGCGAACATGATTAACATACCTGAACGTTTCAGGTTTTTGGGGCCAAAGCATGAACTTTCGCTTGTCTTCTGGGCTTACTTTAAGATATAATCGGTCTGTCCAATCAAGTATTTGATCTTCTGAAAGAATCATGTCATTTCCATAACCTTCTGAGCTATCAACTTCTCTGGAGCACTTCATCTTCTCTTCCATTGGAAGTGCAAAGAACTGCTTTGTAATGGAACATACTTGGTCCAAGAATGAACCAGTGATTCCATGATTTATTGACTGTAACAATTAACAAACAAACCAGCTCTTGAGAAAAAAGTTATGACACATAGTGTCAACCAAAGATTTGAAGTTAAAATATAGTAGAGTAAGGTCACGACAAAGTAAATGGATTCAATCAATAGTAATTGATAACAAACCATAAAGCAGCCACATGAGCTGAGAGCTGAGTGGAGTTTTTCAACTTCCTCTCCTCTGGTTGATGGTGATGCAAGGCGAACTATATCAATAACTGGAATCTCCAACACTGGAAGAGAACTGTCTAGGACTCCATTAACACCATCTTCATAGAAATATCTTTCAGGAGGTTCTTCACTGTACATGACCAACTCTTGGACAGATTTTGATTGTGATTCTATTTTGGTAGGAAAAAGATTATCAGCCATGCTTATGCAGACACTGAGATCGCCTTGATTTTAAAAGCTTTAAAAAAGATAGTTATAGTTGCTTTTTAACATGAAACGGAAGCAAAAGAAAGAGAACCCTAACTAAACTCCACACACTCTGTATAGAATACCATGGAGTTGTCTGCAGTTCCAATTCAGAGGTGACAACCTGCTCAATCCAAACATAAGTGTCTGTAGTGAAGGAGCCTGAGGTCAATATTGGGACAGTGATATTTTGTATAGATTTGGGCAGTACAGCTGGAAAGTACTATTGGCTGTCTCTGGCACCTTGGTTTTATCCGCTATTTCTTGCGTGAAAGCAAGGGGCTGTAAATAAAGATTTCGAGTTTGTCTTATTATCTTTCTTTTATCTGCCGACATGTTATTTACTAATTAATCCTTTTCAAACTTGCAGCCATCATCTCTGATGGGGAGATTCGCATGTGGGAGTTTTCACGTGCCAGAAGAACACATTAAGTGAAGTTCCATTGGTTGTGATTCCAAGAGAAAGTGTCTAAACTTCTAACAGGTTGGTATTTTACATCACAGCTTACCTCATTTGAACTTTGAATTGTTAGCCATTATCATATGGATAGGACTGACCTACATGCTTAAACCTGATTTTCAAGAGAGGGAGAGAAGACGGAATTGGATCCTTTTACTTCACACATCACGTTCATTTTTGGTTATTATAGTATTTCTTGAAAACGTATGTTTTTCCTAATACTCTATTATGCATGTTTCTGTTTTCTCTATTGGCTTTACATTTGCCTCTTTCTGGCTCTTTAATGGTCAGGTTGTAAGTTCCTTCTGTTACTCTATAGGATGAATCTCAATTGTGTTCCAAGTTCCAACAATGATCAGAAGTATTGCTCAACAATCTTCATCTGATTAATTCAAGAGATGCAACAAGCACCTGATCAGCACAACAAATAATCAAGGACTGCATTGAGTCCTTGCCTCAGCTCTTCCTAAGCTTATTGAATACTCTTTCAACGCTATGGTTATTCTTATATCTATTGTCACAATACAATAGTTCTGTTATTACAGATGGAAAAAAATAAAAAATTAAATCTTTACTGCTTCTATTGGCCTCTTCCCTTGTTGGTAGTATTGAAAATAGATACTAACATAATCTTTCACCTTCTTGTATAAACTCGGCGTAATTTCGCTGATCAGCCCATCTGCTGGTTTGATCTCTTTATCTGACTCAGGAATGCAGAACACAGCCAGAGTGTTCCTCTCCCTTTCTCTGTTTGTCACTACTCTGTGTACTGGGCTTTTGAATATTCCATTGCTCATTATCTGTGTGAATCATTTCATACCGGTTATGCAAGTCTGTCAATTATGAACCATTCTAGTTTCATTGTCTGAAACATTTGATTACATGCTAAACCTATTCTGTAATGGATATTTCTTGTTTAAATCTTGTGAAGGGAAATATGAATGATTAAAGCTGAAATTGGGGAGAAAGTTTACAGTTCTATGCCATTCCCTTCTGCTAACAAGAATAAAGAGCACTTTAAGTAATATAAATTACCTCAACTTGATCTCCAACATTGATTAGAAGAGCATGTTGAATGATGGGAACTCTAAACCACTCGTTGTCTTTCAGGAATTGAAGACCTTCTACTTCTTTGTCTTGCAGGAGGTAGGTAATTGCAGATGCATCTGCGTGTGGCTTAACACCAAGAATTCGATCAGGCGGTGGACATGGAGGATAGAAGTTAAACCTTGCAGTCACAAGTGGTTGCTCTCCATACTGATCTAAAAAGCAGCTTTCCTCCAAGTTCAACGACCTTGCCATGGCTCTAAGGAGAATTTCATTTATCTCTTGTAACTTCCAGGTGTATTCATGTAGGGTTTCCCTGCAGCCACGATTAGGAGCAAGGTTAGCTTTGCACATTTCATAATTTTATTCGCACAGCAGATGGAAACTGCCTTGTTATCAACTGTAAGTTTAACTAACTTCATCGCTGCAACTCAGTAGATATGTCAATTCTTCTTTTAACATCGTGAAAACCCAGTAAAAAATTTGGTAGTCATGTGATTAAATTACCTAAACTCTTTAGGATTTTCTGGCCAAAACTTGAGCTTTCTCTGGTCGTCTGGGCTAATAGTAAGATACAGTCGATCAGTCCAGTCAATTGTTTGGCGCTCCGAAATAATCATGTCATTTCCATAACCTTCAATGCTGTCAGCTTCTCTGGAGTATTTCTGCTTCTCTTCCATCGGAAATGCAAAGAACTGCTTGCTAACTCCACGTATTTTGTCTAAAAAGGAACTTGTCATGCCATGATTTATTACCTGAAACATCAAAATCAATTCTGATATTTATGTATCAAGAGTAATGCTACTTCTACATGTTTGATTGCATTTACACATCGAAGCATGTAATGTAGATGGAAGTGAATCTATGATAACCGGGTTGTCTCCATGTATCCAATGTTTTGTGAAATATTTTTTTCTCATGAAACGCAGATAGACCTAAATTTGCAGGACTAAAATACTCAGTCCCGCTAATGTGAATTAGAGAATGATACCAATTCATTAATCCAGTTGAGCAGTGTCAATTAAGTCTTACAAATCTTGGGGCTATCTTATGAGATTTCTTACTACCCGACAACTATCTTTTGCTTTGACCATCTTTAATGCTCAAATCATATTGAAACAAACATTGTATTGAGAGTAGAGCAGGGACTTCTCAGTAGTAATTAAGTGAAAGTTTGGATAAGAAAAGGACCTGAAAGCAGCCCCATGAGCCGAGAGCCAATTTAAGCTTCTCAAGTTCCTGTGCACTGGTTGATTCAGATGTAAGAAGACCAAGATCAACAACTGGAACCTCAATTAACGGAACAGAAGCATCAAGGACTCCACCATCATTTCCTTTATAGAAATACTTCACTGGTGGTTCTTTCCCTTTGATAGCCATTTCTTGGACTGAATTTGATATCAACTCCGCCTTGGCAGCCATGTTACCTCAACAGCAGCTGCAGAAAACTAATTAGCTTCAGCTGCACTAAAGGTGTTATAATCTAAAAAAGGGCTTTTTTCTTCAACTGGATTGGTACAGGAAAGAAAGATCTTGGACTTGTTTGCTATTATCTAAAAAAGGGCTTTTTCTTCAACTGGATTGTACAGGAAAGAAAGATCTTGGACTTATTTGCTATTTAGGATCTATTCAATTCAAAGTTTGATTCTTGTTAGGTGCTGATGTATTCACTGAGCTCTTTTTTTTTTTTTTTTTTTTTTTGGGTAGCTGTGGTCAAAGAATGGGGATAGCACTCACAAATCACACAATTACAGCCCCTTCGATGTTGTCTGCCTATATCCATTATTCTATTCTTGAAGTCAACATGATCTTGCAGTCCCAGATCACTATGTGATCTAATACAGACACGCAGGCTTTTACATCTTTTTTCTCCCACTGAGAAAAATCTCGAATCCCGGATCTTTTAAGGAGATGGGAAGAAAGATATGAATGCCAGTTGAGCTATAGCTGAAAGGATCTCATGAGTAAATGCACCTGTTCGTATGTTTTTATCAAGGGAGGAAAAAATAGAAAAAGAAGAAGCAAGATAATATTGTTTTCTTTTGAACGTGTCTTTTAGCTTTAGCTGTTCTTGTGACTAAGCAATTGTGGAAAAATAGCAATTTGTGACCTAATCTTAGGATTATTTTAGTATTGAATAAAAAATTGTAAGCAAGTTGCCACCTCAATACAGGAAATTATGGTATTTTATTTGAAGATTTAGTTCTAGGCTTCTAGTCCATATCTCCTCCTTGCCTTAAAACAGATTATCCAGTGCTATCTTCCCATTTTTCGGAAGCATTCAAAGTCGAAGCATAGCAGCATAATTTTTCAGCTTCTTATATTGTAGAGAATCCTTTTCTCTTCTATCAACCCTTGAGCTGGTTCAATTTCTCCCTTATGAAATGGTATCTTGAAGATTTTGTTACTCATTATCTGCACAATCTCTCTCTCAGAATCAAACAAGTTCTTAATTTCTCACGTATAGAAAAAAGATTTCCATTGGATATGCTAAAACATAAAAGTATAAAAGAACACAGCAATGCATTTGGAAAAATAATAATTTTGAGGGCTAGTTTTTATATAAAGCTCCTATTGCTCAGAAGTTTTTATAATTTCTATTTTGTTTTTGACTAACAAGTCAATACATTCCGTTGTCGTCCAGCGGTTAGGATATCTGGCTTTCACCCAGGAGACCCGGGTTCGATTCCCGGCAACGGAATTTTTTGTTATTATATAAAAAAGGGTAAATTTTTGTTTCTCCATGAGGCTTATGACACCCAAAAGTTTGATTTTATATCAACTAAACCCTCAACTTCGGTTGCCCTTTCGACTGCGTCCTTCCATGGCTCTTTGTTATTATGACAATTTAATTATATCGTACTCTTTTCTTCTTTTGTGTTAGCTATATGCTATAGTTATATTTTAACATAATCCATGAAAAACTTATATTAAAAAAAATGTGAAACTAGAAAGAAGAAGTTTAGAGATTGTATTACCATTGTCTAAGGTTACCAAGAATATTAAAATAACAAGAGATAAGAAAGAAAAATAAGGATTTTTTTTTCCTTTGATTTTGTTGATTTCTATAACAAGATAGCAATGACTTTTGGTAAACAAAATATGGGATTGTCTCTTGAGTATGGAACCTCACCTACAGTATTTTTCGTTTATGCTATTGCCAATTGTTGAGTATGGAACCTCTTGAGCTGGTTTCTAAGCTTCAACTCTTGAAGGATCTCCTTGGCATAGGAGTATCCGCTTCTATCTTTCTCATCTTTGTATTCCTCACTAAAATGTTTAATCTCTTTGGTATTATGGCATTTCACTTATGTCTTGCTCTTCTCTTTTCTTTCTTTTCCATTTGAGACATTTCCCACACCAAAAGGAATCATACTTGGCTCCCATGACATACCTGTGGCGTAACTTCTTTTATTTACGAAGTATTCTGGTGGTGGTTAATCACCATCAGTGGACATTTCTTCTACAGCCTTTGAAAGTGATACCATTTTTTCAGAAGGGGAGACATCTGCCAGTGCATGAACTGGTAGATTATCGGTGTTTGAAACTAGGACTTGATGGGACATAAGAGAAAACTTTAAGGCTTGCCTTCAGACTTGCTTCAAGTCCAAGTGATTCAGAAGGTTCATAAATAAAGGTATACACATTATCATAAACCAAAGTATATTCTAAGTTCAACCTTTTTTTGAATTTTGAATCTATAATAATGTAATGGAAGTGGAATGTGCTATAACATGGTGTGTATCTTTTCAAAAGATTTATAAACCTCAATCCGTTGAGATTTCCTTATCTTTAATGTTTTAACCATGATGAGGGAAACTGCTGACGTAAGATTATTCTTTGTTTAAGCTAAAGCACCTTAAATATGAACAAGGGAAAACTAGCCAGCGAGAAAAGACCTTCTCCAACTTCTTCAACAAATGCCTTCAGATTCTTGACCGAAAAGCCACATCGGTTCATTGCATCTCTTGCTAAAATTTCCTTACATTGCAGGGTATTCTTCTCCCTTTAGCGTAGCGAAATCCAAACATTTCTTAATCTTGTCATCTTCAACTTTTCCTTCTTCATTTGGCCCTCATCCTCACTTTTTCAACCAACGTTGCATCATCGAACTGTATCAGAAAGGTGCTGAGGTGTGAACAGACGACAATGAGGATCAGAAAATGTTCGGTGGTGTTTTTTGGTGGTTGGCTATGGCTGGAATTCATGACTTCTGGTCATTTAACTCTATCAGGTGAAAAAGACATAATATATGCAAATGAAAATAGATACAGCGACATGACAAACTAATTAGTAAGGGAAATTGTTGGATCACTCTACTTCAATTATAAAATCTATCCACTTGATCAAATAAATTGTTGTTTGAACAGGTAATTTTGTCGGATGACCATTATAAAATCACAAAACGGAACTGTGGCACTACGGCATTAACTTATCGACAAGATTTCTGACGTCCCTGAACTCCAATAATTGATTAGGTGTTCTGACAGGGACAATTAATTCTTATTCAACTTTCAAAATTAAATTTCTGGGAATAAAACAAGAAGCAACAAAGAGTACAACACTAGGAAATTTTTAGGGTGTCAATTGCAACCTTGCCTTTCTGGTGCCACTCATAGTAGATGGGAGCGTAATTTTTAACATTTCTGTATACTCTTGGTCTTTGCGCATCCACCAAGCCATCCACCGGTCCAATCTCTTTTTCTGGGTCTGGTTCATTGAATAAGGCAACAGAGATCCTCAGCCTCTCCGAGTTGGTCACTGCACGGTGCAAAGGGCTTTTGAATATTCCATTACTCATTATCTGCATAGTTTCAAATAAAACCAGTGACAGAAATCAGTAATTTATTGATTGAAACAACTGAAAACTCCATCATAATACATTTATATATACAAAAGAAGTGCAGCATATGGCCTGAAGAAAACTATTGGTTCGAGTCCGAGGCAACAGCTGCCAGCTATTGATTAACATCATTCTCATGTTACAAATTTTCCTTGCTAAATTATCATGGGGATGTCAAAATGTCTTCCGGATTCAGATGTACCTGCATTTGATCTCCAAGATTGACAACAAGAGCATCAGCAGCTATGGGGACTCTAGCCCATTTGTCATTTATGAGAACCTGAAGGCCTTCCACTTCCTTGTCTTGCAACAGAACTGTAATCCCTGACCTATCAGTATGAGGCTTGAGACCAAGAACAAGGTCAGGTCTAGAACACCTTGGATAGAAATTGAGCCTTGCTCTCGTCAGCGCTCCGTCACCAAACTGGTCTGAAAAGCTGTTCTCTGCTATATTCAGTGACCTTGCCATGGCCTTATAAAGAAGCTCCATCAGTGATTTTACTTTCATTGCATATTCATGTAAGATCTCTCTGCATCAAAGTAAATCAGAAGTACAATAAGAAATATAAAATCAACAAAAACAGCTGTTCCTTGGTCACAGTAGATTGAAAATGGTTATTTTGGAAATTTTTTTCATCTAATCACAAATTATGCCATAACAAATCGAGAATAACCTGAAATCACTTGGATCATCTGGCCAAAGATTCATCCTTCTTTTATCTTCTGGAAACACCTGAAGAACTAGGCGATGGGACCAGTTGAGAACTTGTGTTTCTGAAACTATCCTGTCGATCCCATACCCTTCCTCTTCATTCACTGGTCGTGTATACCTCTGCTTTTCTTCCCCGGGAAGTGAATAAAAAAGATGTGCAATTTCCCTCACTTTATCAAGGAATGCACCTGACATCCCGTGTCCTATCACCTGAAATCAAGAATATTAATGTCCATTTCTAAGCTTGGAGGGATCCATGAAAGGCAAAAAATAAAATAAAATAAAATTCTGAAATCTTTGACTTCCAAGTTCCAATCTGTTACTTGGAGATCGTTACAACTTAACATCATGTGATTAAACAGGCTAATACGAATAAAAATAGCTAGAGGAATTGAAGGTGATATCGTGTAAACTTACAAACCTGGAAGAATCCAGCAGAGCCAAGAGTTGATCTTAGATCCTCTAGTGCATCTTCTACTTCTCTTTTGGAAGCAATCAATGAAGTTGAAGTGAAGAGACTGACATCAAAAACTGGAATTGTGGTCGACACTGAGGACATTTCCGTAGGTGCATAACAGCATTCTTTGGCAAAGTATTTTGGTGGTGGTTCATCACCATCAATGGACATCTCTTGCACACTCTTGAAAAGTGATGCCATCTATGCAGGAAGGAGAGACATGTTGGCACCAGTGAACTTGTAGTATATAAATATTCTTCAATATTTGATACAATTACTTAATGGTAGATAAACATTTTTAGTGATTTATTTATTTATTCAATTGCAGACTTAACGACAATTTTTTCAGTTAAACATCCTGAAATTGAGGTAACAAAACTCCCATTACAAAGAACGCTAGCTAGTCAAAA